CCATCTGAACCACACTCATTGCTTCCTGCTATGTGGTCACAGCCATGCCCCGCTTCTGTGCATTCCGCACCCTCTGCCCACTCTGTGCCCTCTGCCCATCTCTGCACCCTCTGGCCACTTCTGGTTGCCCTTGACACCTCTGGTCAGGTCAACACTCCCACTCCCCTCTGTACCTCTGTTGGCCTTCATGCTGTCCTTGTGTGACAGTACTGACAGATCAACCTCTGTTCGTGGACTTGTGTCGGCACTGCACCGACCCCGCTTATTTGCGGACCTGTATCGGCGCCGCACACTGACCTCCGCTTTTGTCCTTTGGCCATTTTTGTCACTTGGCAGCATACCATTCATTCCTTGCCGAGTGCCTATATTGTTCATCCATTCATTCGCTTAACTTGCCAATATTGGCACTTGATTCGTGTGCTGATGCACTTCTTATTACCTGTCAATATTGGCACTTGATCTGCTTTTGCTTTAGTTCATTGCCTCCCATTTTCTGGGCTCTTGTCCTTCATTCAGTTTGACAACCCCACTTATTTCCGTGCCGGACCGCACTGGACTGACCGGCCCTTCTGTGTTCCCTCCTGCCTATTTATATCCTGTAAATACTTTTGGGGACCTCAGTCTGAAATCAACTAGAGTACCCCCTATCTGGTCTGAGTCCCTCCTTCTGCAAAGGGGGCTTCCCCCCCTCTCTGAGTCCGTGCTCGTGGAGTCCGCGCTCCTCCTACGAGCCCGCTCCGCCTGCAAGTCTTGTTTGAAGTCCGCTGTAAGTGTCAGTCTGTAAATATGGGATCTCCCCCAGACATCAAGCTCAGGGCACAGCGCTCCACTTGAGTCGCTGAGGCTGCGATCCCACTCTGCTAACCTTGAACAGCACTTCCGGATGCGCCGCATATTTCCGCCTGCACATCCGCGTGTGTGCGCTCCAACAGACCTCTGCCAAACATCCGACCCCGACTCAGACAGAAACCCCATCCATCTTCAGTCTGTCTTCTGACAGCATTTCCGACTCTGACAGTACACTAGGCACTGCTGAACTGTTGTCTAATAGGACTGCCCCATTCTGACTCGCTGCCTCTGCCCTGTTCTGGATTAGCACCGAAGAACTGATATGACCTCCACTGCTTCCCTACCCAAAGACTCTGCTATCAACAAAGCTGTCCTTGCCATTCCTAAACTCAAGGGACATGAAGATTGGCACATATGGGCAGGTAACCTTGAGGTAGCTCTTGATCACATCTGGGACCACATCGAAGGAAAAAATGTCACAGCACTGTCAGGGACAGCTCCGAAAGCGGCGAGGTCCCAGTGCGAGGGACTCGATGGGACAGATGTCGGCTATGCGTAGCGGTGGTCCCGTTGCGGGGTGAGCATCCCTGACCACTTAGTCTGAAGTGGGAAGTTGAATTATCATTAAAAGGGGAAGCTACGGTACTTACCTGAAGTGGGAAGTTGAGAAGAAGGCTGCTTCTTCTGTTCCCACCCCAGGTGCTATTATATACATGCGGTTGGGGTCACGTGGGAGGAGCCACGTCATCCCCGCACACAGCCGCACTCCCCTGGGTATCTCCGTGGGAGATCCCGGAGGTGTGCCGCTCTGTGAGCAGGAATGCGCGCGGCGGGCGCAGCAATCGGGGGAGCGGGGTTAAGTGTGTAGTAATACATAGAGAAGGGGAAGTCGACCATGGAACAGAAATAGAAAGGAAGAAGGAAAGGGGAAAGAAGAAACAGGGAGTGATAGCGGGGGGGCGGAGTAGGGCGGCGCGGCACGGGGTCAGGTGGGGTGTGCCCTGACAAGCACCTGATGACTCTAAACCTGAACACCAGGCTTGGGTAATTGGTAACCGAAACAGATGCTGAAGGATCTGGCTTTCTCTCAGCAAAGCATTCAAGAGGGGTGTGATAATATGCTTGAATACCCATCTGTTATATGGAAGGATTAGCAAATGCAAACTGCATATGATACTAGGGACATAAATATATATCGTCATACTCACTGTCCATTCCATTTCTCCTTTGCGATCCCAGTGAAATTGACTGTCCAGTAATTCCCCAGTCTGAGATCTGTTGGTGGCTCATGGGCCACAGAGGTCAACTTCTCTTTCATCCGTTTAAAGGGTATCCCAATCTCCAGGTATGACTGAAATCGTTCTGCTGTAGCACATTCATGGGGTTGTGCATGATGCCATGCATGGTCTCAGCATCCCCTGACTGTTGAGCAATGTGATGTTGAAGCAGGTTGTAAGCTTGGAAAAAGACACCTTTGACAGGCTCATGTCAGAACCGTGCGAAACTTCGCCAATGGTAGCCGTAGGTGACCGAACGTTGGCCGCTAGTGGTACAGGCATCCTACTCACGACCAAGCTTTAGCGAGAAATAACCTCACCGATCTCAAGGTTGAGGCTACTTAGGCAAGCGGGCCGGGATTTCGGCTTCAACGACTCAGGGAGGAGCATTGCACCTCGTTCTCGATGCGGTCCCGATACTTCAGACGGTGGGGGTCTTACGGGGAACAGATGCAAGCTTAGGGAGAAGTCCTAGTTGATTTCGAACTGCAGTACAAGCATTAGTTACAAGCTGTATATAAGCACTAGGGAACTGAATAGGGAATAAGTCGCCAGATCTCATGGAGATTGCGGGCAGAGAAAAGAAGAAGGAAAACAAACAAGAAGCATGTGTTTAAGACAGCAAAGGTCAAACATGACCTTCGCTGTGAGATAACAAGGTGCGGCGAAACATGGGACAAAAGGTCGCGGCGCTCTGCGCCGCTAGGTTGTTCAACGACAATTAGGAGAGGGGTCATGGAGAGGTGGTGGGAAGTGGTTAGACGGCGGCAGGCAGTGAGCGGAGTGTGCAGGGAGTGTTCGGGCATGGGAGAAGGTCGGGGAGGAGGTCGTCTGACCCCGGGGAATGCCGGGTCGTGACAGCTCAAGAGCATGCTGTTGCATGAGGCCTTGCACCTCTTCCACAGTGTCAATTTCAGAAGGACTGAGCATGTGATCATCACCATCATCATCCTCACTTCCTCCACTGCCATTGTCTTCTGCAAAAGTCCCACCTTGGCATCTTGTCATGACCAACAAATCCTGGGGCTCCATCAGCAGTGAACCAATGCTGATAGGCGAATCCGCCGACCTGAAACCCATCCTAACCAGCCCTCAATCCAATGTCTGGCCCCCTGCCCTACCAAGTGAGACTTTGCCAACAATCAGACCCTAGACCCTGCCAGCATTCCGACTTCACTTCCAGTTCCCGAGCCTTTGGTGCTCCCAGCATCCAGTCCCTCTGGTTCCTCCTAGGCCTATAGCACAACTCAGTCTCACATCCCTGCCTCCACATCCTCCGCATATTTTGCATCTTCCATATTCCGCACATCTTCCACATCCGGACCTCTGCCCACCTCTGCACCCTCTGCACCCCTGCCACTCCTGGTTGACCTCCACACCCTGTAGTCAGGTCAACACTCCCCTCCATACCTTTGCTGGCCATCATGCTGTCCTCATTTGTGACAGCACTGACAGACCACCCTCTGTTGTGGACTTATCAGTGCCGCGCTGATTCCCGCATCCCATTTCGCGGACTTGTGTCGGTGCCACGTGCCGACCCTGCTTTTCCTTTGGCCTTCTGCCACTCGGCAGCATTCATTCATTCCTTGCTGAGTGCCTATTATGTTCACCCATTTCATTCGCTTAACTTGCCAATATTGGCACTTGATCTGTGTGCTATTGCACTTTCCTATTCATTCATTTAATCTGTCAATATTGGTACCTGATCCGCTTTGACTTTATTCATTCCTTGCCTCCCATTTCCTGGGTTCTCATCCTTGGTTTAGTTTGATAAGTCCCCGCTCATTTCTGCTTATTTCCGCACCGGACCGACTGGTCCCTCTTTTGATTTCTCTTACCTACTTATACCTTGTAAATACTTTCGGGGACCTCAGTCTGAAATCAACTAGAGTACCCCCCCTGTCTGGTCTGAGTCCCTCCTTCTGCAAAGGGGGCTTCCCCCCTCTGAGTCCGTGCTCACGGAGTCCGCGCTCCTCCTACAGGTCCGCTCCGCCCGCAAGTCTTGTTTGAAGTCCGCTGTAAGTGTCAGTCTGTAAATACAGGATCTCCCCCAAACATCAAGCTCAGGGCACAGCGCTCCACCTGAGTCGCTGAGGCCGCGATCCCACTCTGCTAACTTTGAACAGCGCTTCCGGATGCACCGCATATTTCCGCCCACATATCCGCCCATACGCGCTCCAACAGGCTTCCGCCACAATCTCCGACCCCGACTCAGACAGAAACCCAGTCCATCTTCCATCCATCTTCCGACAGCCTGCCCGACTCTGACAATAATCCCATCTCTGACACATCTGTGTGACAGCAATCTTTGGTTGATGGAGTGGGCAGTCTGGTGGAATTCTGGAAAGACAGTGTTGGATTGCACATGACCAAAGGAGGTCATGAAAGCTTGGGGGTATGTTTTTGTAACAACCTTGCCAGTGCGGTGTGGGTCTGACTGCTGATGATTCCCATAGACATGATTGAACATGGTGTGGACATTGTTGTCAGGGACAGCTCCGAAAGCGGTGAGGTCCCGGCGCGAGGGACTTGATGGGACAGATGTCGGCTATGTGTAGCGGCGGTCCTGTTGCGGGGTGAGCGTCCCCGACCACTTAGTCTGAAGTGGGAAGTTGAGAAGAAGGCTGCTTCTTCTGTTCCCACCCCAGTTGCTATTATATACATGCGGTTGGGGTCATGTGGGAGGAGCCATGTCATCCCCGCACACAGCCGCACTCCCCTGGGTATCTCCGTGGGAGATCCCAGAGGTGTGCCGCTCTGTGAGCGGGAATGCGCGCGGCGGGCGCGGCGATTGGGGGAGCGGGGTTAAGTGTGTAGTAATACATAGAGAAGGGGAAGTCGACCATGGAACGGAAATAGAAAGGAAGAAGGAAAGGGGAAAGAAGAAACAGGGAGTGATAGCGGGGGAGCGGAGTAGGGCGGCGCGGCATGGGGTCAGGTGGGGTGTGCCCTGACAATTGTCCAGTTTTAGAAGAATCCCCCCAGGGGCCTCAGAGTGTCTGTACAAAGATATCTTCCTGTTGATGATATTGCCACCAGCATCATAAATATTGATGGGGTTGTTATCTTCATTTCCATATGGAAGCTCATCCAAGTCATCAATTTCCTGTCCATATTCATCAAAGACTTGTCCATGTTCTGCCACGATGTAAGCAGGATCGATAATTTCTGTTCCCCTAACTACACAGGCACTTTAGGAAGCAGGTGGTCAAAGCACTGTGAAATATATATATATTGGGGCTTACCGAAGGTGGCTGGCAAGCGCAAAACTCCAGTGTGAGATGTGCTCAAATGAATGATTCTGGTGGAAATGAGCCACAGTCTCCTCAAGATGCTCAGTGTCAAATTCCAAGTCTTGGCCATACTTCATGGTGATAATGAGTGGTGTTGATTGGGGCATTTCGAACAAATTCTGATTCATATCTGTCAATCAGTGTCTGGTGCATTGAGCGCACATCACGGAGTCTTAATGTGGCCCTGCCTGACTGATTGCACCTGTGGCATGGAGTTAGTTGGAGTAGATCATAATAAGTAATATTTTTGCTCACACCCAATCTGTGACTTGCATGTATTGTTTAAGCTCACCATCCAACTCCACATAGGTATTAGGTTTCCTGGTTGAGTAGTCCCTGTGTGGAATTTCACCCATTGCCCAGGGAATGATGCATGTTGCCATTCACACATGAGCCCTGGTCATCAGAGTGGTCCCAGTATGTGTGCCAGGTGCAACCAGGTCATCAGTGCCATCCAGGAACCCTTTGGGTGCCATGGAAAGGTACTGTCAGGGAGCAACCTGGGGTCGAGGGTGCCCAGATGTGTCACCTGGCACTGAGGACCCGGTAGGGTGTAGCATGGGCACGCGTACTAACGGGCCCGGCACAAAAGGGCATCCCTGGCCACTTAGGCTAAAGTGGGAAGTGTGTTATTATTATTAGCAGGGGAATGTAAGCTACTTGCCTAAAGTGGGAAGTGTGAGAAGAAGGTTACTTCTCAGTTCCCACTTAGGCTGTGTTTATGTACATGCGGTTGAAGGTCACGTGGGGAGCGCCACATCATCTACGTGCACAGCTGTATCTGCCTGGGTATCTCTGTAAGAGATCTCAGGAGCGTCCGGTGTGTAGGGTGTCGCCCAGTGTGTCCGGGTCCGGGCGTGTTGCGTAGCCTGGTTAATGGTACATCAAGCAAGGAAGTCGTCCATGTAGTAGAAAAGGAAAGAAGGAGAAAGAAAGGAAAGAAGAAAGAAGAAGGGAAAGGAGGAAGGAGAGAGGAGGGAAGAGAGAAGGGAGGAGGGAGGATGGGGACACCGGGTGAGGGTAGTGGGATTGGGTGGGGTCGGACCGGGTGGAGTGGGGTCAGGTGGGTGTGCCCTGACAGGTACACATTGTCATGGTCCTTGGTCCCAATGTGTCAGGGGACAGACCCTGGGTCCCCATGACCCCTCTCTCTATAGCCCACAGCCCTGTGTGTAAACAGCCTATCCTAAGGCACAACCTACTGTGGGTAAGAAGATGAGAAGGAAGCTAACTTCTCATCTTCCCACAGTGGCCACAATATCAGGCAAACTTCCGGGGATACCCAGAAGTCACATGAGGGGGTGGGAACCGGGCCCGGAACATGCGGCGTGCAGAGCGTGCGCAGATGCGGGAAGCACAGCAGGTGGATGCGGGTCCAGATGCGGGTCTGGGTCCGGGCTAGTCAGGGTGTGTGCCCTGACACAATGTGGAGCATTTGCCCAGTGGGGTCAAACCCAAGATCACCATGGTGATTGAGGAACTCACACACAGAACCACAGAGGTTCAGGTGGAAGCACCATTCAGTATTTGCATGAGGTTACAAGTTACTAGGTACATTGTACATAAAGGAGGGGTCCGGAATCAAAAGGAGCAAGGGTAGTCTGAAAGGAGACAAAGGGAGCTGGAAGGAGGAACAACACCGAGGGTCAAGGGTTTGACTCAATGGTGTTTCCCAAAGGAGGAGTGAAGGGCCAAGGCCCAAGGAGGAAGGAAGGAGGATGGGAGTCAGGAATGGCTAGCTGACTGAATAGAAGGAAGCAGCAGCCCAAATAGGAATAAGGGAGAATAGCGGAATTGAATGGGACAATGCAATAGTTGCAAGGTCTGAAGTAAGTCCGGAAAGTCCGAACTCGGAAGTAAAAGGGATATTGGAAAAGGTAAATAAATGGAATTAGCTAACCAATATAAGTGGAGGTGGGGTCAAAGTCCGAGGTCAGAGCTAAGACTGGAGGCTCCAGAGATGGAGACGTGAATGGGATTCCAGAGTCAGGGTCCGGAGTCAGGAGTGTAGATGTTGTGTGCTTGTCTGGAAGGTGCTGCAGTTGAGGTCGGACCCAGAATGGTCCAGAGTCGGACTGAAGGTGGTGTTGGAGGTGGAGGTGGGATAACCTCTTGGGAGTTGGCAAGGAGAAGGCAAGTGGGGCTCCAGAGTCAGTTTCGGAGTTCTGGGAGCCTGGAGTGGAGGTCAGGATTGTATGGATATGACACCCAGCACGATCAGGGACTTTGAGTGAGAAGTCAATGAAAGGCCTGCCATCATGTGGGTGAAGGTTTCTGAGCCACCAGGTGCATAGAGATGGGCATCAACTTCCAAGTGCCACTTCCTCCTCAAAAGGCTGAAGGCCTTTTCACCATCTTGTCATGACCTGGCATTCCCCAGAGCCAGACGACCTCCTCCCTGACCTTTTCCCATGCCCAAACACTCCCCGCACACTCTGCTCGCCACCCATCACCGTTGAAGGAGAGAACGAAGGAAGGTCAGTTGGGAGGTTCAAACGAGACCACCACCAAGCTGTTCCCTGGTTCTTTAGTTAGGATGGGGAAGTGTACTAGTATTATTAGTTGTAAATATAGTACCAATCCGAGTGTTTTGGCTAATTCTATTTTTATGGGTTAGTCTAAAAGTTTCTGGGAATTGACTTACAGATAAACCGAGCCCTGCGGAGCTGTTCCTTTATTGAAATTTCTTAATTTGTCTAGGTGTAATTCTGTGTAGTGTTGTTTAATTTGGAATTTAACTTGAATTAAATCTTCTACTTGGTGAAGTTTCAAAGATTCTACTCAGTTAATGGATTTGGATTGTGTCTGGAGTGTCCCTTGAGTTTGTTTTATTTTTGTCTTATTTTATTGCTTGTTTTAACAGTAGCAAAATAACTGTTTTGTGTTTACACTTTGAAATCTGGAGTGTTAACCAGCTCTCCTGTTGAAATATCTACTTAATATTTCTCTCCTTAATTGCTGCCTTTTACTACAGTGGCAATCTTAACTGTATATCACTTTTTCGCACTGGAGTGACAACCAGAAATGCTTGAGAAAAATAATACTCTATTTTCTTACTTCTCTGAGGGGGGGGGTGAAAAGTCGCAGAAAGGGTCTCCCTTTTATACTCCTTGGGTTGCCTTCCTTTTTCATGCTCTACCTCCTATTTACAGGATTTATTTACAGTGTGTTTTTCTCAAACTGAATAAAAAATGAAATTTTCACACTATAGTTCTACTGCGCTTTGCTGTGCTGAACTGCGGCTCTACCGCGGTCAGACTGCGCCTAGAATCCTTATTGTCCTTCCTTGCCTAAGCTATTTTAATGGTTAATTAAACCTTGACTGCGCTGCATTTGTCGCAGTTTTCCTATTTCAAATTCCTCATATTTACCATTAAATTTGCTATGACTCGGTGATTCTGAATTCAAACTTCGCATTACTATGCGTGCGGCTGTGCTGAGACCTTCAGCTGATTTATTCCATTTTTATTCAGCGACATTTAGTTAAAATGAGACTTGAAATGGTAAATGAGTGAATTATTCAGGTTTAAAACCGAAAGAAAAAGTTGCTAGTAGTCAAGAATTACTCAAACGAATGTATTATAGCTCTCCACTTCATTAGAATATCATTCCCTAAAATTCCCGCCATGGTCCGTCATAGTTTAGTGGTTTTCGTGGATTTCGTTCATCTTCCCTGATTCCCCTTTGTATTATCACATCCTAATCCTCCATATGTATTGTTCGTTGTTATAGTAGGTCGTCCTCTAAGATATCATATTTTTATGTATTTTATTTGGGGCTCTGGGCCTCTTGGGGCTGTCTTCCCGCACATTATCAGGTTTCTAACTTCATGTCCTTGTATCTCATTCATTTCTGGATGGTTTCTCACGTTCTTGGTATCATAAATTTTCATTTATTCCCACCTTTCCAATGGTACTAAAGTTGTGTTCTATTTCCTGGTATTCGTCGAGTTAGCAAAAGTTTGCGTGCACATTCAGTAATCATGTGCATTGTTCCCATAGTCGTTCGTATGCGGGCACTGTTTCTGTTTAATTGTTCGGGATTTATGGTATGCGCGGGTGTTTATATCCTTCATATGGGCTTCTGTGATTTATTTCAGATTTTTCCCTCATGATCTAAGGTTGTTTTGCACTTTCCATGCTTTGTTTTGACCGGGCTCTTCCTTATTTGGATGGAAATTGGTCTTCGCAATCTGCCGAAGTGTGGATCTCGGTTCCGATGGCCGGTTCCTGTCACGACCTGGCGTTCCCCGGGGCCAGACGACCTCCTCCCTGACCTTCTCCCACACCCAAACACTCCCCGCACACTCCGCTCGCCGCCCGTCACCATCTAACCACTTCCCGCCACCTCTCCACGACACCTTTCCTCTTTGTCGTTGAACGACCTAGCGGCGCAGAGCGCCGCGACCCGTTGTTCCATGTTTCGCCGCACCTTGTTATCTCACGGCGAAGGTCACACTTGACCTTCATTGTCTTGAACACGTGCTCTTTGTTTGTTTTCCTGCTTCTTTTCTCTGCCTGCAATCTCCGCGAGATCTGGTGACTTATTCCCTATTCAGTTCCCTAGCGCTTATATACGGCTTGTAACTAATGCTTGTACTGTAGTTCGAAATCAACTAGAATTCACCCCCTAGGCTTACCTCTGTCCCCCGTGAGACCTCCAACCTTCTGAAGTATCGGGACCGCATCGAGAACGAGGTGCAACGCTGTCAGGGCACACCCGCCTGACCCGGCCCCACCCAGCCCCACTTCACCCGGTACCCCGCCACCCAGTCTTCCCCTACCTCCTCCCCCCTTCTTCTTTCTTTCTTCCTCCATTCCATTCTCTCTTTACTTATCTCACCTTCTCTTTATTTTCTCTTTATTCTACACGGACGACCTTTCCTTGTATCAATGTACCATTGACCCACCTGCAGCGCGCTCACGACACGCCCAGCCCGGGTGCCTCAGGCGACCCCTGCTATGTCCAGCTCGCGTGTTCACAGCGGACGCCCTCGGGATCCCCCACGGGGACACCTGGGTGACTATGGCTGTATGCGAGGATGACGTGGCACCCGTCATGTGACCTAAGCCGCATGTATATAAACATACCTGAAGTGGCCAGGGAC